CCTAAACTTAGCATCTCAAGAACAGATTTGATGCATTAGACACTAATAACCAAAGCCTAGAAGCATTGTGGAATGACATTGAGAACAAATATGAAGAAAACAGAAAGTCATTAAAAAGAGAGAAAGAAAAGACCAAAAAGGAATGTCAGAAGAGACTCTGAAACGTGCTTATTAGTTAGAAAAGCTAAAGCAAATGGAAGAAATATGGAAGTAAAAGAGCTGAACAGAAAATTCCAAAGGTCAGCTCAAGGAGACAAAGTAAAATATTATAATGAAATGAGCCAAGACCTGGAGTTAGAAAGCCAAAAGGGAAGAACATGCTTAGCATTTCTCAAGGTAAAAGAAACTGAAGAAAATTTCCAAGCCTGAGCTTGAAATATGGAGGGATTCGATGGGCAAAATATTGAATGATAAAGTATCAGAAGAAGATAGAAGGAATACATAGAGTCACTGTACCAAAAAGAACTAGTTGAAATTCAGACATTTCAAGAGGTAGCATATAATCAAATGCCAGTGATACTGAAAGAAGAACTCCAAGGTGCACTGAAGAGATTGACTCAGGGAATTGATGGAATACAAATTGAAATCTTTCAACATACTGATACAGCACTGGAGACACTTAACCCATCTATGCCAACCAATTGGAAGAGATCCATATTTGTGCCCATTCTGAAGAGAAGGTGACCCAACAGAATGTGGAAATCATTGGGCAATATCTTTGAAGTTTCCTGCAAGTAAAATTTTGCTAAAATGATTCAAAAACAGCTGTAACAGTCCATTGACAGGAAACGGTCAGAGGTTCAAACTAGATTCACAGGAGAACACAGAACAGGTGATTTCATTGCTAACATCATTTGGATCTTGGCTAAAAGCAGAGAATACCAAAAAATGTTTATTTGTGCTTTATTGACTATGCAAAAGCTTTTGACTATGTGGATCAAAAAAAGCTCTATTGATAACATTGCTGATAATGGGTATTCCCGAACACTTAATTTTTGCTCATGAGGAACCTATACACAGAGGCAGTCATTCTAATGGAAAATGGGGACACTTAGTGGTTTAAAATAAAAAAAGTGGTCACCAGGGTTGTATTCTTTCACCAGACTTATTCATTCTGTATGCTGAGCACATAAACTGAACAGCTGGATTACATAAGAAGAGCATGGCATCAGCACTAACAACCTTCAATATGCAGACGATACAACCTTACTTGTTGAAAGCAACAAAGACTTAAAATACTTATTGATAAAGATAAAAGAACACAGCCTTCAGTATGGGCTGCATCTCAATGTAAAGAAAACAAAAATCCTCACCACTGGCCCAATAAACAACATCCATATCAATGGAGAAAACTTTGAAGTTGTCAAAGACTTCATTTTGCTTGGATTAGCTATCAACACTCATGGAAGAAGCAGTCAAGGAATAAAATGATATATTGCATTATGTAAATCTGCTGTTCAAGAACAAAGGTGTCATATGCATGTGTTTGGTTCTGTTGT